CTGACAAGCATCCCGAGCAGCAACCAGCCTGTTCTGTGCGCCTCTTCGGTAAATTGTTAACATAACAGCCTTGCACAGTCCCCATCAGCTCAAATGTGCAGTGATGCCAGAAATATGCCCATGAGTGAAATGTTTCTTCATTTAACAGGAGAGAACACAGCCCCGCTCAGAGGGAGAACTTGATAACCACTTGGTACAGGATTAGTTTTCCCACCTGTCTTTTTAAACCAGTTAACCACTTTCAYTCAGTGGAGAAATACCTGTTAAAATTGTTTTCCAGGTAAAACCATCTCTACAGGCTACGAATGTCCCCAGCTCTGCTCCTTTGCTGCACATCTGACCATTCCAAGCTATCCGTGAGCCGAGGTTTTACAGTTCTCAGGCACAGTGAGGCCATGGTGACACACAATACAGGGGCTAGCTGCAGCCCATCCTTGATCTTTGGGGCCTGCTTCTGCTTTCATGTGAGCCTCTGGCTGCATGTCTGCACTTTCTGCACAGYGGGGGCTCGCTCTCAGTCTGAGGATGTTCATTGTCGGCCCTGCAAATGCCCGTGGCCCCGCGCATGCAGCTGCAGGATCGTTGGATGTCTTTAATTAAGTCGGTGAACTCTGCCAGTGCAGCAGATGCCTCCATTAAGTGTTCAGCCGCAGGCATTGTGCAGAACAGCAGCGCAGGGGAGTGCCCCAAAGGGGAGCATGGCCTCAGCTTTGATCCCCTGCAGTACTGGCCCTTCAAAGGGAGGCAGAGCYCTGCCTTGGGCTGCTCTGAACTGCTGTCCTGCAGTCCATGCCCAAATTGGATGAGGGGCTGGGATCTTGGCAGAAGCTCYTGCCCCTCTTTCTGTAACCCACAGCTCACCTTCCTTCCTTGATTACTTCTGAACAGAAAGTGATCTGACAGCCCAGGCAGGTCTGAGAGCGCTACTGGAGGTGAGAGTGCTGGAGAGGGAGGGCTTTGTGCCAGCAGRTAGAAGTGTCAGTTCTCCTTGGGTCGGGGTTCTCGTGGGAGCTGAGCTGTGTCCCTTGTTTGCTGCTGATGGGCTCCAGGGAACAGGGGGACATCARGACAATGTCAAAGAAACACCTGGATTTGCAATCACTTTCTCCTCTGTCGCAAACAGCTGAGCAAGGTCCTAGATGTTTGCAGATTTCAGTGGAATTTMGGCAAAACAAAGGCAGATAAGTCTCCAGGAATGTCAGAATACTTTCTTTCCAGTGTAATAAACTCTGGAGACATTTAAAATGCACAGGCCTGACAAGATCTCTCAGTCCTGGTGGCCAGTTTCAAGGGAGGCTCAAGGCCCCTGCCCAGAGCAKCTGGCACCCATCTCCTGCCCAGGTAGGCTGAGTTTAATGGGTGTTCCAGATCGGAGGAGGTGAGGGCATAGCTGGGACACAGTCATGTGGCTCTGGTGTGCTGCAGGGGGGAACCATGGATGGGCAGGAAGGGCCAGCAGCACTGCAGAGACCTGGTGTGCACTGCAAGTCAGGGATCACAGCCAGGGGTGGCTCAAAGCCTCAGGGCAGCTCTGTGCTCTGCAGTTATGACCCACATCCCTTAGTCTGACCCATAAAGTGTGAAGCTGATCACAGCCAGACACCGGCAGCTTGGCTGCTCTGAAGTCCTTCTTGCTGGCAGGAAGCAAATGGTTCTCTCAGCACACCTTCAGGAGGGTGTACAGGATGGGAGCACCTCTGGGATCTGTCCAAGGACAGACCCCACAGGAACTGTCTGTGAATATTCTGCAGAACACAGAAAAATAAATATGTTTTGACTRTTTCTGACATAGAGTTATTGGGTATTGTACAAAGATAAGGGACTATGAGAATGACCATTTGATTYCTGTTCTAACAGAAAGCTGACTCCAACTCCCAGTGCTGAGCAGAGCAGCAATAAAACTGYAATTTTCTTTCAAACATAGCAGGGAAACAAGTCCACCATCACACTGAGGCAACAAAAAACGTAGCCGCWGTTCAAAATAAATCCAAACTTTAATTTTGGCCTAAAGATACGATTGTTGGAAAATAACAATACACTTTCATATCTTTATCAACCAMAATTATATCTGCTGATTATTTTACAAAATGAAAGACAAAGTTTATCGATGCTTTTAAAATCACTGTGTGATTAGAAATAAATGGGTTTCTGGATTAGATTAAGTAGCATGAAAAATAAAACAAACTAAAACCTGCCTGTGCCACGGGCCACGTGTGCAAGCAGCTCAGTGTCCTGCCCCATTGGGTCTGGCACTGCAGGGGTGATGTGTGTCTGAGAACAGCAAAGCGCTGCGCACTTGGAGCACCCCACATCTGTAATCTCCTGCTTGCCTGCTGCCCACACTGCCGGCGGCTGCTGCCCGCTGCCAGGGGGCCTGGATCCCATCAATCAAGGCCGGCGGTGTCTGGTGAGGAGCTCCGCATGGCCGGGGGAGTGCTCGGGGGAGCCTGGCAGCGAGCCCCCAGCCTGCTGGGAGCCGGTCTGACTCGCCCGGGGCCGGTGGCCGCTCCCGCCCGTGCGCTCCGGCCGCGGCAAGCGCCTTTGGGAAGCACGGAAACCTCACGGCGAGCCGGGGCTGCCGGCAGCGCCCTCGGGCACCGGGTTCACCCCGCAGCGCAGGGCAGCCCGCGGGTTACCCTGTCACCCAGCCGGGGGACACAGCCATGGGGGGCGCGGCCATCGCGGGACACGGCCATCGGGGGCACGACCATCGTGGACACAGCTATGCGGGGCCACGGCCACCGCAGGTCACTGCCATCGTGTGGCACGGTCATCGGGAGACAGAGCCATCGGCAGGTACGGCCATGGGGGCACAGCGCCATCGGGCGAGGCGGCCGTGGGTACCGCGGGCGGTGCTGCGGGGCCGGGCCGGGGCGGGGCGGGCGGACGGGCCCTGCCCGCGGCGCTGCCCCCGCGGCGCTGGGCGGGCGGGCGGTCCCCGCTGCGGCTCGGCGCCTTCTCCTCCTACTTCTCCTCCTCCTCGTCCTCAACCTCCTCCTCCTCCTCCTCCTCCTCTGGCCGCTGCGGCGCGGGGGCTGCGGGCGGAGCGGCGGCGCCATGAGCGGGGCGGCGGCGGCGAAGAGCGAGAAGCTGGACGAGGCTCAGGCGCTCGCCCGCAGCTGCGCGGGCAGACCCGACTTCCAGCCCTGCGACGGGCTCTCGCTCTGCGCCACCCACAGCCACGGCCGCTGCTTCCGCCTGCACTGGTGCTGCCACCTGGGATGGTGCCACTGTGAGTGAGGGGGCGAGGGAGCGGGCGGGGGGTGCGCGGTCCGGCCGTCCCGAATGTCCTGTTGGTCCCTGCGCGCTGCCTCCCCGCCCGTCCCGTCCCGCCCGTCCCGTCCCGCCCGTCCCRTGGCCGGGAGCAGCCCTCTGTCCGTCCCGGGAGTTGTCCGCGCCGAGGCGGCCACAGCGGGACGCTGACCTCGGGCCGCTGCTCCCGGAGGAGCGGCAGCGGCGATGCCCGGACAGTTCCTCGGGGCCGGTGGTCCCGGCGCCCCTCGGAGGGCGGGCTGTGGCATTGGCTGCCGCTGGGCACCGCTGTCCTTCGCACCAGTCACTTCATTCTCGGTGCTAATGGCTTTTTCTAACAGGCATAAACCCCTTTGAGCAGAGGTAGCTGCTTTAGGCTATATATAGCAGATAGCTTCAAAATCCAGTGTTGAGCCAACTCTAGTGAAAAGGCGCCCAACGACTTTAATAYCTGTATTCAAGATCCTGATGTATCTAATCATGGAGGCTGAGATTGAACTGTGGATGTCCAAACATAGTTTGATGAATAATTAATCACACAGAGCCTTGAAGAGCAGGCTTTCCCAGCAGCGTGTTGATGCGAGGTCAGGAAATGGTGATGGAGCCGTGCACTTGGATCATGCTGTGTTCTGGAGATCTTAAAGCCTGGATGGTCAGAGTTAACACTGGACCCTTATGTGAGGGTTACTTGGTGCTGCTGAAGGTGCCCCTGGAGTCCTGACATCCCATTCTCCTTTTAAATCCACTACCATTGCCATCTCTCCTTGTAATTTAATCTCCTACATGGATTCCCCTTCACACGCACATTTTGCAAATTTTGTTTCACAGTGGGGAAAAGGGCTGCCCCAAAAKCCACCTTTTGTTTGGATACAAGCTTCCAAATCAATTAAATRCACATTTCAGGGYTTTTGCCTTGATTTTGGATTTGTTTGAAAGCAGTTCAGGACAATAGGTTTTTTCTGTCTGTACCCTGAATACTGTGTGGCACAGCTGGCTGTGTGAGAAGGTGCACAGGGACAGGGATGTTTCACTGGCATTCCATCAATAACACAAAGGCCCTCAAGTTATGACCTAGATTCTTCCCAACATTTCTCTTAGTTGGGGATCTTAGTTGTTTGTGGTCACCATCAAGATATATATGCTTACAAGCACTCTGGAGTACAGAGCTCAAAGTGGTGCCTATAAACTGGAGATGTTACCCAAAACCAGCTGGGAATGGTCCTGGGATGAGAAGTCAAACGTGGAGCTGGGAACACCTGGAGAAGYGACATTGTGGCCAGGGATGTGGGGATTAGGATGGATCACAGACTGACTGTGTGTCAGCGGCAGGAGCTCTGGCTGGCACAAAAGCCAAAGCCAGAACCCCAGCCCTCGCTTTGGGATGCGTTACCAGGAGCATGGCAAGTGTGCAATTTAATTATCTCTTCAGCTTAGTGATGAGGAAGCCAGGCTGATGGGCTGAGCTTTGAGCATTGCACTTTATAGAGCTGGAGGAGAACTGGGGAGGAGATCACAGATACCAGCTTAGAAATCACAGATACCAGCTTAGAAAACGTGCTTTACAAGGGGTGCAAAAGGGGAGCACTGTTTGGGCTGTAAAAGACTGAGGGAGGGAGGAAGGAGGGAGCTATGATGAGCTTTGCCAAGTGGAAGGTAGCTTTGTGAAGAGGCTGTGCTCTGCTCCCACTCTGCCCAGACGTGGCAGATAACCGGGGATCTCTTACCTGTGACCAGGAGAGTTTAGGTTTGGATAYTGGAAAGCATCATAAGCAGAAAGAGCAATGATGCAGGGGAACAGAGAACTTGAGAAGGTGGGGAGTCATGGTCCTTCAGGGAAGGCTTGCACTGGTGTCCCTTGGACATTACATGGAGCTGCTTCCCCCTTGGAAAGACCACTTGAGATCCCATCCAACCCTCTGCTTCTGCGTGGCAATTGTAAGATATAAAAATAGTTACAGTATTTGCAAGAAGTACGTATTTCCTTCTCAATTCCTCCTTTATGGCTAAGGAAACTTTTAGATACCTTTGCCTCATGAAACCAGGATTTTAAATGGAAGATTTTAAAGGAAGTCACACACTTCATTGCCTTGTTTAATCTTCTGAAAGCCATGAAGAAGCGCACTGCCTTCTCGCCCCTCATTTCCTAATGCAAATTTCAGAGCTAAGGATCTCTTTGTATCTTGCTCCCGTGCAATGAGTTGAGTTGGACTTAAAAGGGGTAAAAATGAGGTCTATAATGGGATATTGTATAGAGGTTCAGAGACGTAATTAAACAGCATTGGGACTTTATCTTCCATAAATGCAGTGCTCACAGTAATACCAACTTGGGAATCCTCAGAGGGTTCTTGAAAGTGCTTTTCTGTGACTCTTAAGAGCTGTATTGGGGTACAGGAAGCTCTACTTCAATTAAAAGGGCCATTGAAGTATTATTTTCCATCAGTGGCCAAGGTCCTGGAGAATGTCAACTCAGTTAAAGTGCACTTACACTGAGAAATTACAAAAACTCACCATGCCATGATGAGTGGATTGTCTCCTCATGTGTATTCAGGATCACATCTGCTTACTTCAGTGACAGGAGCAATTTACCGTTGCAGCACTTGGCTATGGAAGGAATAATTGAGGCAAAAGCCAGCCTGAATTCCCTAAAGCCGTTGTGGCTGGCATGCTTGGAAGTGAGCAGCACTATAGGCGCTCTCTTACCTCCCATGTTTCTCTCTCCATAAAATGGCAATAACAGCTGGCAGGGAGATCAGAGACTGCTCAGTGTATCCAAACAGCTCCGGGAGCCTCAGCTGCCCTGGGTGCCTGGATGACTTCTGTGCCTAAGCCTGGAGTTTATTTTGGGTCATTTTCAGTCTGTTTGGGGCTTGGTGGAGAGCAGATTTCCCTGTGTGGTGTTTCTCTAATGCTCTGCCGTGCCTGGAGAGCTCTGAACCAAGGTACAACCTCCATAAGAGGTGCAGGACAAACCTGCAGGAYGGGTGTGCCTGGGGAGCTGGGACTGGGGGCTGCAGGGGTGAACACCCGGTCTCTGCTCTGTCACTGTGCACAGCACCCCTCCCCTGGAGGCTGTGTCGGCTCCAGTCTCCACTGGGAGCAGGATGAGGGCTCCAGCTTCTGAGTCCTCTTCCCAGCAGGGGAGAAGACATTGACCCAGGAGGTGTTTCTGACCTCAGCCCATGTTTGTCCCACTACACATTTCTCCTGCTTGCACTGTGCCCTGCGTGCATTCCCTTTACCAGGGTGGCAGCCCCCTGTTCACCTTGCTTCCCTCCCCTCTGAGAGCCTGCTGAGGTTTTATTTATTTGATGCAAGCTGAGAGCCTTAAATTACTCCGATCTACTTTTTCCAGAGCCAGAGAAAACACGCCAGAGGCAGGTCTGCAGCAAGGTGCCTGCCTCCCTTTCCTCACCTTGGGATTTCCACTGCGGCTCTGATTTGCACTGATGCTGGAGCTGAGGCTGCTGGCTCTGAGGTGGTACCTGTTTCTGTCAGAAGGGATCACATCCTCGGGCTTGCATCTGTCCTGACCTGACAGCAGGACTTAGACTGTGTTCTGCTCATTTTACTTCCTAGGAATTAACTGTGAGCGAAAGCACCACGCTTGATACAATTAAGAGCATTCTCTTTGCAACTGGGTTAATTTGTAATCCGAATATTTTGCATTCTGTTAAACACCCTGCAAAACCCTCGGTACATTATGCTGCAATTATCAATAATACATGATGAATCGTGGTTCCATAGCAGTTGCATCAATAGGCAGTAATTGTGCCACCTTGTATTAGCCTTTCTGTGCTTTTTTTCCTCCCTCTGATTCAGCATCAAAAGAGCAAGCTTTTAGCTCCTTAAAGCCTCTTGCATATCTTATATTGAAAAGTAAATGCAGCAAATAAATTTCAGTTCACCACTTTATAAGGTTCAACTGTTTGAACCGTTTGCAAGAAAACAAGCCAAGCATGGGGAGCATGTGAGGCCTCCATTGGGTGGCCAGGAAGGGAGCACGGTTGCCAGGCTCAGGCAAGGAACAAGATCGTGGTGGCAGTAAAGGTTTTAACAAACACAGCCGCTCCTCCAGTGCTGCGCTTTGCTCGGTGGGGGATGGCACCAAGGTGTGCCTTGGATTAGCCTCCCCCCTGGCGTGCAGCACAAATTATGGCACTGTTAGGCTGAGTTTGCAGCCAGACCTGGCAGATTGTGCCGCGGGTCAGGCAGGCCTGGCAAGAGATCCAAGGAACTGTCATTCTTCAGCCAAGAGGAGAAAATGGGCTCGTGTGATGGGCAGCACACCACAAAGGRCACGTGTTTKCTGSGTGCTTTCGGGGAAAARGRCTTCTCTAGGTTTGGCCATGCCAGMAATATTCTGGGGATGTAGAACCAGAGTATATTTACATTTATTGCTCACCTGAACAGGCAGCCCAGGGTTTCTCCTGGCTCTCAGAGCTCCATTGCTTCCTCCCAGTGTCTGAGAGCACCCAGCAGAGGCAGAGCCCCCGTGCTGGGGTCTCCTCGGTCCCAGCTGTGAGCTGGCATGGGCAGGGGGTAATCCCTTATCCATTGCCCACAACTGCAGCCAGGGAACCAGGCAAATCAGCACAGCCACTGCACCTCGGTGTGCTCTGAGCAGATACTGCTGCTCACATTCTTCTCTGCTTGAATCACCCCTGGTTTCCTTTTGTAACATTTTGAAATGGAAACATTTGTTGTGTGTCCCCCAATGCTGGTGTCAGCTGTCTGTCGAGGCCATTCTCGATGAAAACTCCCAGGGAGAGTGGTGTGATGTGTGTCCGCGGCAGCTCCGTACCCACCGGGCCCGGGTGCAGGTATTTTCCCCTGCCACACAGGGATGTGCAGCATTTCAGGAGCAGCATTTCCCAGGTGTCTGTCCCCTCTCCCGTCAGCAGGGGCTCTGACAATCTCCCGAGCCCATGTGATTATTCAGACCCCAGTGGGAGCTGTGAGCAGGGATCACTGGGGCAGCTC